CTCTTGCCCTGGCCCCCCCTGCTCCCCCGCACTCCTGTTCTGGCCCACCACTGCCCTACTGCACCCCTGCCCTGCCAACCCCTGTCCCCGCACGCCTCGTCGTCATCCCTGACACACACACACACACACACACACACACACACACACACAATCACATACACACGCGCCTCTTACCAAGGCAGACCGGCTGCATCTATCGAATACTTGCGCAGGAGGCCCTGATAGCTTGTCCTGTGGCCACGGCAGCAGCACAAAAGGATGGAAGGAGAGCAGGGAATGGTGGTGGCGAGCGGAATTGCGGGTCGCACGCTGTCCTTGGAAGAGGGAGGGTGTAAAACTCAGCCATACAAAGGCCCGGCGGCGGCATGACCCGGCTTCTTCTCCCTCTTGTGATCGGGGGCGCACCACGTCTCCACCGGCTTGCCGGGCAGGTCTGCCTTGGACTTGATGTCGTTGGCCAGGCGCTGCTGCGTCAGGCGGCTGGCCAGCGTCGCAGTGTACAGGTGCACCTGGGCAGCAGCACACACGATCCCACCCATGCTCCATGCTGGGTTTGACAGGCTCATAAACGCAGAGCTGTTTGTCAAAATAAAGGAGCACGCGCCAGCCACCATGCGGCCCGACCAATGCAACTGCAGCAGGCCAGCACAGCAAAGAAGTCAGTATTCAAGCAGCTCACCATGATGACAATCAAGAAGCCGTACTGCAGGGGGGGGGAGCACATCGGGGCCATGGCTCATGGGGTTTCATATGATTGCACAGGCAATTGTGTGGCAAACCCTGCCTGGGCCCTGCTAGCCTGCCGGTTCTCCCTGTGCTCACCGCCAGCACCAGGACACGGGCCCCCCACGTGTCGGGATCGCCCACATGGGCGTGCATGTGCATCAGCTGCGACATAGAGTACCAGGACCAGCCTGGGAGTGACGGGGCCAGGTGGGGACGGCAGGGACTTCAGACGTGCTGCCCTTCATTGCGCGTAGACCGCTGCCCCGCCCGCTGCATCAAACGTGATGTTTGGCCACCCTCCGAATGTGCACACGCACCCTGACCACCCCCAAGCCTCAAGCATTCGCGAAACGGGACCCCATTCGCCCAGAGGCGGCTGTTGCCATGCGCTTTGAGGCAGCGGACCTTGGAGGCCTGCAGTCAAAGGCGTTGAGAGTGGCGTGGCGATGGGCGCGCAGCTGTAGTGCAGTGCGGATGCGGCATGCGCTGCTGAATGAACATAGGCATGCACATGCCAAGGAAGGCGCCATGCGCAGGGCAAGGCACGGTGATGATGCCCCCGAGGACTGCTCATGCGCGCCCACCCTTGCGGTTGCTCTTGCCCCCGTGTGTCAGGTGCTCGACGACCGCCACCAGCAGCCCAACCGAAAGCGCCGTGCCAAAGAGCGCGGCCCACACGCTCCAGTGGAAGGCCTCTGTGAATGTCCAGGCACCCCCCTCCTGGATGTGGCCCGCAGTCATCACCATGAAGCCGCTCTGCAGGCCCGATGGACAGTGCCAGGGATGAACCATCAGAACGCGCTGGCTGCATGCGCGGCTGGTAGGCGCGCAGGCTCTGCATGTGCTGCTATTCAACACTGGCACGCGCATATGCAGGTGTCCACCTTGTATATCGGCCACGACATCCTCATGCCTGCTGCCAGGTTGTCAAGGGACACCTCAACACCTGTGAGGCGACGGAGGGGGCGGAGGGACAGTTACTGCAACGGCTCTGAGGTGCCCAATCCCTGTCGTGGGCACTGATCGCAACGTGCGCCTTTTCTCCTGGCACATTGTCCATGCGCAAGGAGCATCCTTTTGCGAAGAGATGCGCACTGCCTGGTGAAATCTCGCCCCGGGCGGGCCAGACTCGAGTCCAGTCAAGCGGCAGCGGCGTTGCGCATTGCGCAAAGCATATCTCCGATGGCTGATGGCGACCCGTACCCGCGGCCGCCATCGTGCATGCGCCGTCTGGTGACATGATGTCATCAATCATGGGCGTCCAGTCGATGCACGAGAACGTCCAGTCAGCGTCTGTCCAGCCCAACTCGGCCGCCACGCGGCGGAACAGCTCAACTTGGTAGCCATCGTAGGTGCTAGCAGGTTCGGCCGGGTCGCACTTGACAATGGGGTCCCAGGCAGAGGTGCACACGTTGAAGCTGCAGTGGCGGCATTCAAGGGCGTGATCGCGCGGCGGTCAGGATGGCGGCCCGCCTGTCCGGACACCAGCACATGTGGAATGGCTGCTGGTCAGCGTGGCGCTTGTAGGCAACTCAACCCCGCCTTGCGCCCCGCAGCGAGATCTCTGCTCGATGACTCACGGCTTCTGGAACCTGATTCCTGACGAAGGTCCTGCGCGGCTGGCCAGCGGCCGCAGGCGCGCTGCCAGAGACTGCGGCCAATTATGCCTCACTGCACTGCCTGAGGTAGCGGCAGCGGCAGCGGCGCACCACAGAGTGAACACATGCAGAGCCAGAACCCGTACCGAGTGGTACATCGCCCTCCCTTTTGCTGATGGCGCTTCCTGAACACCGGGGCCTGAGGCACCGTGCTCGAGATCACAAGAATCGAAATGCCTGCTAGTCAGAGCGTGCGATATCAATTCCCATTTCAATGGGGCTAGCTGGTTTGAGCGTTTGCTATCAGGCAGGGCTCGATGTGACCGGCCGATGACTGAGTTTTTGACTGGAGTTCGCGGGACCCGTGGTCCTTACCGTATTGTATGTGAGCGCAAACGAATGTGATAGACTGAAGCGGCAAAATCGTTCGTATCTGAGCTCTGGGCGTCTGCTCAAGTGTCCCTCTCATCTGCATCCTCATAAGCAGTAGCCTGCACCAGGCTCGAGCACAGCAATTCGAGTTGCTCTTTTCACCTTTATCCAGTGTGTCCCTTTTGCGCTCTTGTTTTCCACTGCCTTCCTCTTGTTGCTTCGCATTCACTTTTGGCAACAGTGCATTTTTAGGAAACCTCCACTCTCGCCTGCAGGGGGACTCACACCCCACGCAGCTGTGATTGTTCGCTTCTGTTTCATGCGCCGCTGCCCTCACAGCTTTTACCCCATTTTCCAGTCAGGATGCATCACATGAGGTGACAGGACAAGGAGTTTCAAGAATTTACTCTTCTTGGGGTGTATATGCATGTGTGTTTGAGTGTGTCCCAGATCGATGCCGCAGGAAAGCAGCTGCCGACAACCGGGAAGAGATGCACACTGCAGCTGGCGTGTGCAGAGTCATGTAATGTGTGCGTCTGCCGCTGCGAAGCCGCAATGTCATCCCCCAGAAGCATGGCAGCACAGTTCGAGCGCACAGCCGTGAGTGCACCCTTGGGTTGTATCAAACCACAATGTTCAAATCGGCATGTCCCAGGGGTGCCAATCATCTCTCAGGCAGCTGTCACTCGCAAGAGGGGACTAGCTGTGCCATTGGCCATCAGACGAAGCATGCGCTGCCGCGGCCGCCCACAGGGGCCGGCTCGCAGGGCCAATCACGTCAGGGCGGACGGAGGCCGCGCGCCCACGCCACTGTTGGATGCAGTGGGCGCGAATACGGAAGAAACAGTGCGTGCCAGTTGAAAAGGACGGCAGCAATGGGCAAAGCCCCTGCCAGCAAAACCAGTGCCGACAGAGACCCGCTCATACCCACTGCTGGGCTCAATACCCACTGGCACGCCTCCGGGCCTGCCGTTCAAGCGGGTACTAGCCGCGCGCGCAGCAGCAGGACCCGGCCCCAATCTAGGTTGTGATGCGCGCGCGCGCGCGGGGGGCGCCGCGAAGCCGTGCACAGACGCAGGCCGGCTTTTCAAATGAAAGCGATAACACAGGCGGACCACATGATGACGCCGGCCCCTATCCGGGGGCCACTGCAGCTGCAGCACCTCATCACGTTCACGCTGCCATTCCTGAGCGCAACAGATGCTGACGCGCTCAAAGGGCCAGCTTGCGGCTGCCCTTGCTGCCCTTGCCGAAGGTGGGGATGGAGATGGTGGGGATGGAGATGGCGGGCTTCTCAATCTTGGGGATGGAGATGGTGGGGATGGAGATGGTGGGCTTCTCGATCTTGGGGATGGAGATGGTGGGGATGGCGATGGTGGGCTTCTCAATCTTGGGGATCGAGATGGTGGGGATGGTGATCTTGGGGATGTCGATCTTGGGGATGGTGGGGACCGTCTTGTTCAAGAGCGGGGCCAGCAGGCTCGACAGGTCGGGCTTGCTGATGGTGGGGATGGCAATGGTGGGCTTCTCGATCTTGGGGATGGAGATGGTGGGGATGGTGAAGGTGGGCTTCTCGATCTTGGGGATGGAGATGGTGGGGATGGTGATGGTGGGCTTCTCGACCTTGGGGATGTCGATCTTGGGGATGGTGGGGATCTGGAACTTGGGGATCGACGGGGCGCTCTTGTTGGTGAGAGAGCCCAGCAGATCAGTCTTGGCGCTGACCACCTGCTGCACGAGGGCACCCTTGCCAGCGATGATCTGGTTGATCAGGGCGGCGACGTCGGGCACCGTCTTGTTGGCAGGGGCAGCCTTGGGGATGTCGATCTTGGGGATGGTGGGGATCTGGAACTTGGGGATCGACGGGATGGCGGGCGCCGTCTTGTTGGTGATCGAGCCCAGCAGGCTGGTCTTGGTGCTGGTCAGACCGCCGATGAGCGCGGCCACATCGAAGGGAGCAGCGGGCGCCGCGGGCTTGCTGAACAGCTTCGAGAGGTCGGGGAAGGCGATGGTGGGGATAGAGAAGCTGGGCTTCTCGATCTTGGGGATGTCGATCTTGGGGATGGAGATGGTGGGCTTCTCAATCTTGGGGATCGAGATGGTGGGGATGGTGATGGTGGGCTTCTCAATCTTGGGGATCGAGATGTTGGGGAAGGCGATAGTGGGCTTCTCAATCTTGGGGATGGAGATGGTGGGGATGGTGATCTTGGGGATGTCGATCTTGGGGATGGTGGGCACGGTCTTGTTGGTGAGAGAGCCCAGCAGGCTGGTCTTGGTGTCGATCACCTGCTTGGCAATGCCGGACACATCGGGCAGCTGGCCTGCGTGTGGGCAAGGGGTGCAGAATAACCCGGGCAGAGTGAGCCCTAGGTCTGCATGCTGTGGAGCCTGTAAGCTGCCTGATCGATGCTGTGCACCTGCTGTGCACCTGCATCAATGCGCCTGACAAGAACCACACTGCTCAGCAGCAGGGCCCGCCATGCTGCGCTGACACGCCAGCCGCTGTTGTGCGCGCGCGCGCTGGGCGCTGCAGGCGCTGCCCGCATTTCCAGCTGACACAGACATATTGCTGCTTCACGCTGGCGAATCACGGGAGCGTTCGGTTTGCCGGGTCGGGTATGACCGACGGCAAACCCGTGGCGCTGCCCCGGTGACACAGCCTTTTCCTCGCGTTTGATCGCCACCGAGTACTCTGCCTCCACTCCTGATATCCACAGGAGCCACCGCGGCCGTGGCGCCCATGGGGCCACCCGTGCCCAGCCTGTCTGTCGGTGGGCGGCCACGCCCACACTGTCGCCCGCCAAAGCTCACCGTTGGCCGAGGCCGACGCCACGAGGGCCAGGAGAACAAACGCAACGGTCTTCATCGTGCTGTGGAAAGAAGGAGAAGCAGTGGATGGTGGGCGGGAAAGGTGGGCGAGGGCAGGGTGGCGGGCGCTGCTCCATCCAGCTCTGAGCCCACGGGCTCCAAAGCCCGCTTCCAGATATCTATTTGCATTGTGCCACTGAATTGGAGGGCTGGCGCCAGGCGGCAGGCCCACCTTGGGGGGCAAGGGCTCCGAGTCCCTGACGACTGTGTGTAGGGCCTTGCTGGCGGCACGAATGCACAGCCAAGCGCGGAGAATGGAGTGATAAAGGATTGGGAATGTGCAGCTCCAGCAACATGAACTGGAAGTAGGCGCTGAACGATTTTCACGCTGGTGAGTAGGGCGGTGACACAAAGTGAGAGCGGGCGGGTCAGGCTTCCGGGGTCCACGGGTTGTAAATAGTGTGAATATATCGTTATGCGCAATGATCGCGGCCGTCTATGAATCGCGCGCTGCAGGCCGTGGCTTCAGCGCTCAGGGCCACTCTCACCGAGCCTCTTATTAGTCTGAGCTCGAAACAGTGACTATGTGGAGAGAAGGCCGACAGAATGATCGAAGCACGCGATCTAATTTCTTACTACACTCTTGCCTTTGGACGCCAGTGGCACGCGGCGGCTGCCACAGCGATACATGCCGGCCCTTGGTGTGTGTGCGATATGGTGGAGTCACGGGTTACCGCCTCGTCCGCGCGCCACACACGTGGCCCGACTGACCACCAGTTGCGCAAAACTCGAATACAAGCTATGCAGCGGTGCAGTCTCCGCAAGATCACTGGGCCGGCGCGGTCAGGCAGGGAAGTAGAGTTGGAATGAGCGTCACGCCAGCCGCAGGATCACTGCGGCGGTGCATACAGAGTGGGAAGCCCGCGCATACCCTGAGTATCAAAGCTGCTGCGGAGCAGGGCGAGAGGGCGCGCTTGCCATCAAGCCTTCATATCGCACCCAGTACTTTTGTAAGCCCTGCACACACACGCAAGGCATCATTTGCTCACTAATTCCCACCCGACACGATTGATTCAACAAGTGCTATGGTGGCTATGTGCGTGTGCATAATCCAGCTTTTGAAGGGCCACAGCTTGTGATAATGCCCCCCAAATTCCTGTCTCGCGACTTGAGCGCATGCAGGATGCCTGGATGCGGGCCTGAGATGTTTTCAGCGACCCAAGCCCAAGTATCTGTGCTGCCTGAGCAGACCAAATTTTCCCCGCAACGTACAAAGACGGCCACCAAATTCGATGTTCAGGTCACACAGACGAAGAGTGGCGCAAAGAGCAGCACAAAGTACGCCACGCGTCCGCTCGTGGCCGAGGCGGCCTGATGGCCCGCCAGTGGCCACAAGGGCGGCGCTGCTTGAGAGCGCGACGCAATCCACAACAACTCTGGGCGTGGTTGCAAGCAACTATGCGCTTGGAAGAACCAGGTGTTTGGCAATAATTTAATTGGGGTAAATAGCAAAGTGATTCACACGGGTATGTGTGTATGGTTTTGGGGGGGGGGTACCACCACTCACAGGCTCTGCGCTCTGAACGCGTACACGAGCCCCACATGACTCTGCGCCTCACAGCCGCGCTTTGCGCCCTTGTTTGTGAAAATACGCGCGCTTGCATGCGTGCATGCGTGCCTTTGTGCGCAGCGCGGATCAGCACACATTCGGGGCCTTCGTGCACGCTTGCTTTAACGACAGGCGCACGGTAGCCACCTGAACCTCAGTCACACAACGTTGGTGCTTCACTGCACAATCGCATGAGCCTGGGAGGCTCCAGGAGCGTGCAACCGCGGGACGCTGTAACAGTCCTATTCCTATTGCACAGCGATCTTCACATCTGGCGGCAGCACAGGATGTCGCTTGCATCGTAGGTGGGATGTAGTTGAAGCCCCCCCCCCCCCCCCGGCGCAAGCCGGTGCGAACTCCCTGTGTCCTGTTTCACCCATGCGTCCACACTCAACCGAGTGCATAACGGTCAATTTTGCAGGCCGCTAAGCCACCGAGTGTGTCATCCTGGTGAGGTCTCTAAGGCGTGCGCGGTCGCTAACGCGACAGGGCGGTGGTCCATCTCACCGCACTAACGCACATGACATGAATCAACTGTGCCAGTGCGAGAGCCACAGGCACAGTTGCCGTGCAGTGGCTGGCGGATTCAAGGGCAGGGGAGGAGAATGGGAACTCACCTTGAAAGAATTCAATGCAAATGCTGGGATGCCATTCATGCCTACCTGCCCATGCACGCAATGAGCAGGAGCACCATGTACCTTGTACGGCGGCCCCTCGTCAACACAGTTGTACTGTTTACGGGAACAGAGTGGAACAGTCGCAGCCACCAGGCCTTGTGTGCCAACCCTTGTGTCTGCAAGGGTCCCCCAAAATGGCAAATGGGCTTAGTTTGACAGGGCGTGCATGGCTGACATGCTAGATGGCAAGAGTAATGGCCGGGCCCATCCATGATTCATGATGTTTGAGCTGCAGCTCTCACAGAACAACCTGGTCAACACGCCCAGGCCGGCTGCACCGATACAGTACCTGCTGATCGTATGACAGGATACCTCTTTGAGATCAAAACGTCTGTGTTTCGTCGGGTCTGCCCACCAGCACTGCTATGCGTTTCCGGGAGTGGCGTGCGCGCATGAAATATGGCGCTCGACTTGCAGATAACATGTGAGCTAATAGTCAATTTGAAGTAGCTGTACTTGCCGAGGCGTCCTAACACCCGCTCGCACTGCATTGGCGCAGTGGAGAGTGTGCGGTGGTCCGGCTCCGCGCCCCGGCTGTACGTGGAGCATGGGGAGCAGCGCCGGGTGCCGATGGACGGCGTCCATTGGACGCTGGCGCTGCCATATGTCCCCTCAAAGGCAATCCACGTACTGGTGAGCAGCACTGCACCTGCAGGGCATGGGCGACGCATGCGTGCGCTGCCGGCCAAGAGCAGCGGTCGCCCGCACAGGGCGCGCTGGCACATCGAAGCGCGATGAGTAAGGCTGCTGCATGACACCCAACACGTCCTGTTTACTGCCCGTGCGCACGCTGCAGGCGTTCGATGCGCGGGCGGGCGCAGGGACAGGCCCAACATTTGTTGCGGGTGCGTCGGCTAATGCAGAACAGGTGAGGCCCTTGGATAGTCACGAGTGATGCGAGCTCTCGCCCTCAGGCCCTGCGATCTAACTTGTGTGCGTTGTCTCACAGAACGCGCGTGCGTGCTGTCCTGCAGTCGATTTTGGCGGCGGCGCGCTGATCAGGGTTCTCCACTGGCAGTCCCTCCCAGTGGGACTGCGGCACCGATACACATGTGTGTCCCTCATGATGTGCTTGCAATGCATGCTTTCAAGTATCTTTGCATGCGAAGATATGCGTTTGTGCTGCGCAGCACAAACGCACGCATGCACCATGCACATTGTCTGCCTCTTCAGGTGCTGCAGCGGGCTGACGGTATCGCCACGCTGGCCCTGTCAGACCCGGGCGGTGTAACAAGGGGCTGGGTGCGGATGCGCGCTGAGCTGGCGGCTTCGGCGCCCCCGCCGGCGGCGCGGCAGCGGGCGTCGTCGCCGCTGCCGGATGAGCGGCCGGCGAGCCCCTTTGCAGACCCCAGGTCAGAGCTTTGTGGGGCGCAGGCGGGGTGTGGGCGTTGCGCATGGCCTACTGCACGACTTGAATCTTGCCTTTGTCCAAATTACTGAAGACTCAGGGTTCCCACGCAGACGGCCGCAGGTGGGGTGAGGGTGGGCGCACACAAGCGCACACACATGCACATGCACACCACGTGCGCTCGCCACAAAGTGGGCCTCACTGCAAGTGAGGAAGCTGCGTGCTCAGGGAAGCGTGCTTTGTGCGCATCGCAACACACAACTCGTTGCCTCTGCGGGCTCATCACCACCACCCGTAGGTTTCAAGCTTCAAACAGGCAGGCCACCACATCGCTGGGCAGGAGGCTCTCTTCACAGCTCCCGTCAGCAGCGCAACTGCGTGGCGCCTCTTTGCAGTATCGGCCGAGCAGCTGCGCCTCGCAAGCTAAAGCAGCATCCGCGACCTCGGCGCCAGGCGCAGGCGGCGCCGCCGACGCTGCGGAAGCTGCAGCGTGTGCCCGCGGTCGCGAAGGCGAGGGTGTTGCCGCACTTGCGGGTCAAACGGGGGCGTCCCTTGTGTGCGACGGCTTCTCGCCGCTCAAGAGCGCCAAGCGGCGCCACCACCACGCCGCCAGGGCAGCGGCTGCGGCCTCAAAAACGCACGCGCGCCCAGCAATGGCCGCGCCTGCGGCCGGGGCAATCGTGCCGCAGTGCGTGGGCGCGGGGTCAGCGGCTGGCCCCGCGCAAGCTGAGGCGCCGGCGGCGCTTGAGCTGAGCGGCGGTGCCGAAGCCGCCCATCATGTGCGCAGGCGCACCTTGCCGGAAGAGACGCTGCGGGAGGAGCAGCGGCGGCGCGGCGAGGTGGGACAGAGGGAGGAGGGTGCCGCCGTCAGCGGCTCCCTGGCAGGGGTCGCTGGAGGGTGTGGCGGGTCATGGCAGGTGCAGCTGCACCGGGGACTCGCCGAGGCTTGCGCCGAGCGCAAGGCAGCGGGCGCGCGGCCGCTGCTGGCGGCGACGCAGCCGACGGCCACCGAGGCGCGCCGCAAGGCGGTGCTATTGTGCGCCATGCGCGTGGAGGGCGGCAGCGGCGGCGGCAGCAAGGCAGGCGGGCGTCCCGGGCTTGGCCAGCAGCGGGCGACCAGCCCGTTCGGGGCGATGAGCGGGCCCCAGTTTGCGCTGGCCAACGACTCAGCAAGCGAAGGGAGGCCAACGCTGCGCCTACCTGGCGGCAAAGGGAGCGCCGGCGCAAGTGCAGGCGGCGCGGCGCCGGCGGCCGCGACGGGCGGGCAGCCGCGGTTACAGGCGGGCGCGCCGGGCTCGCGGTACCCGCGCCTGCGAATGCTTGAGGAGGAGACCTCGGTTGGGTCATCCCGCTCTCGCAGCCCCCCACCTGCCATTGACGCAGCCGGCGTGCCAGCCTTTGGGCGATCTGCAGCAGCCACGCCCACACAGAGGGTCCTCGCCCTGAGGGCGGGCGGCGGCACCGCCGCCGCTCCCGAGGCTCAGGCAGCGGCGGCTGCTGGCGCCGCCGCCCAGACTGTGCACGGAAAGGTACCCTCCTGGACGGCCGCCGCCGGCGGCCGCCCGCCCCGCTACCCTCCGATGCCTGCGCCTGCGCCCCAGGGCGATGCACGAGTGGCGAGCCGCTCTGCAGCCAGCGGCCTGCCGCGCTGCCCCCTGCCACCGCGTTCCTGTGGGGGGTGCTTGTGTGACTTGCCCGTCGCAGGCGCAGGCGCAGGCGGCCAAACACCACGCTGGCTGCAGGCTCACAGTGTGTTTGGCGGGGCGCCGCCGCTTGCGCCTGTGAACACGCAGTTCCCGCTGTCGCGCGTGGCGCAGGCACCAACTGCGCCGCCAGCGCCGCAGCAGGTGGCGGCGTGGTGACCATGAAGGGGGCTCTTGCAGCAGGCATGGCCGTGTTTTGACGTGTCGGGCCTTGGTGTGTGTGTAGGGCAGTCGTTGGGGGGGGGGGAGCACTGCAACGGCTCCTACGGCCAGGGGGATGCAATAGTAGCTGCAAGGCTGTAGCGTCGCGGGTTGATGTGGGGTGCTGTCCCCTGACGACGGCTGATGAAAATGGCCCGGCGCAATGACCAACGGGCGCCGCCGCACTGCTCAGTTGAGTGCTGTGTGTGTACTATTGTAAACAGGTGTGGCGGCCAGCGGATAAGGATCAGCGTTATTAAGTTTGTTGACCGTCGTAGCTCCGGGTCGGGCCATGGCAAGCCCGTGAGCGTGTGTCCGCCTGGGGACGTAGCGGCGACGTCAACCTGCAGCAGCTGCCAAAAAGGGGGTACAGACAACTTGAAACAGCTTGGCATACAGGCGGGGCGTGCGCTTTCGTGCAATTCAGCAGGACACCGAGTGCACGGACTGCCTTGAACATGCAGCTCGTAGCCTGGTCGTAACGATCTGAGGAGTGGTCACCCGGCCCCAGTGTCCTACATATACCTTGAAATAATCAAGTGCGTCTCTTTGCAGCACCCAGCCGGGCTATACCTTGACCTCGCCGCTAGACTGGCCGCTTCTCTTCTCTGACAAGCGCTCCTCATTTTCCAATCGTGGCGTTTACCTAAGCGTTTCCCCGGGCTTCGGCTCGTCAACCTCGCCCTCTCCTCTACCCCTCTGCCAATTGGGGTTCTCTCACCAGCGCACCTTTTGGTGAGGTGCTATTCCGCGGACCAGTCGAGCCCTTGATCCCCGGCGGCTTTGCTGGGACACTCGAACAGACCTCATATCTTCTCTTCAGCGTTGCCCCAGACAGGCAAGCATGGGTGAGGACGCTGCCAAAGAGCCCGTGGTCGAGGAGGCGAGCGGCAAGGCGGAGTCCAAAACCGAGGCCAAGAAGGAGTTTGTTCCCGGCGTGGGCTTCACTACCGCTGGTGAGCTACGGCCCAGGAGCCGCGGGGCGATGTGCCGGCGAGTTGCGATCTCACGAGGCGTGCGTCTCCACGTGCTGGGAATTCAGCCCTGCGCGGCTGGCGCGAAGGGTTCCAGTATTGGATACCACCGCTGCAAGCTTGCCAGGAGGTCGCATGGGCCTCTTTGCTGCGTGGGTCACCCCGGTGCCACCTTAAGCGGCGGCCGCGCCAACACCACCAAGCGGCCCGAGGCAGCGGCGCTCCTCCTGAGCCCATGCGCCCCGACTTTCCCCGACAGAGGCCGAGGCGCTCCTGCTGGAATGGGGCCGCAACGAGCTGGAGGAGAAGACGACGCCGAAGTGGCTCATCTTCCTCAAGATGGTGCGTCATCGCCATCAGGGCGCGTTTTGGGCCCGACCAGCAGCCGACGCTGGCCCCTCGTCAGCCCGTGCCCCATGCTTAGGACAGCTGGGCCCGCGGAATTCTGCTCCGCCCAACCCACAGCCGCCGCAATTCATGCGTCAACAGGCCGTACTTGAGGCTCGGGAGAAACCTGGACAAAAAGCAGCGCTTAGGGCTTGGGGCAATGCAGCCAGCCGGCCTCGCACGGCCCTGCCTCCCTGCTCTTGCGCACTCCAAACCCCCTTTCTGCCGCCGCCACCACGGCACCCCACCCCTTTCCAACGCCCCCCCCCCCCGAGCGCAGCTCATCCAGCCTATGCCCATCATGATCTGGATCGCCATCATTATCATGCTCGCCCTGGAGCACTGGATCGACTTCGCCATCCTGATGGCCATCCAGTTCATCAACGCCTTCCTCGGATGGTGGGACACGCGGCGGCCAATGGCACTGCCCCGCGCTCGCCTCCTGCGGGCTCCCACGCGCCCTGCTCCCAACCCAGCCTCCCTCGGCCCGGGGCGCCTTCATGCCCCACACCCCTCGCCCCAACACCCCACTCCCACCCCTCAAACCCCAGGTATGAGACCGTGAAGGCCGCGGACGCCGTGGCGGCCCTCAAGGCGTCCCTCAAGCCCACCGCGACCTGCAAGCGCGATGGCAAGTGGCAGAACATGGACGCGGCCCTGCTGGTGCCCGGCGACCTGGTGCTACTGGCCTCGGGCAGCAGCATCCCTGCGGACTGCCTGGTCAACCACGGTGGGTTTTTGCGTGTGGGGGCAAGCTGTGGGGCGGGGCGCGCCTGCTTGGGGCGTGGGGCGCGGCAGGGCGTTGGCATCGCGCGCTGGCGAAGTAGATCGGCGTTTGGCGGGGCATATGGCGGTCGAGGACAGCGGCCCGTCCTGCTGGCTTCGGCTGTGCTGGGGGTGGCGTCGCTTGCCTGCACTGATCGACTGCATGACAGACGGCAGCCCGGCGGGCGCAGCAGGCCGGGGTCGGCACGGGTGTGGGGATGGGGATGGGGAGGGATTCTCCGGATGCTGTGACGGCCCCTGCTAGCATGCCAACACAGGGGCTCGCGATGTGCGACGCAATGGCGCCCTGCGCCCTCGGCTCGCGCCATCTCCTGGCTTGCGGCGGCCCGGCTGCCTCTGCCAGCAGCCTGACCAAAGCACCGCTTCTGCAGCCACCGTACCGGCTCCTAAAGCACGCTTCGTTTCCCTCTGCATGGCGCCAGCTGCGAGCTGCCCCGCTTGCTCGAGCGCCCACACCCCTTCCCACCCAACCTCGCCCCACCCATCAGGCCGTATCGAGGTCGACCAGTCTGCCCTGACCGGCGAGTCGCTGCCCGTGACCATGTACCAGGGGGACAGCGCCAAGATGGGCTCCACCGTCACGCGCGGCGAGGTTGAGGCCACCGTCGAGGTGCGGGCCCCCCACGCGCTTCGTTGCGCCCAGGGGCCACCAGTGGGCGCACAACCTGTTGGGAGCTGGATCACCAGTGCAAGGCGAAAGATGTTGCTGATGGCTACTCATTCCCAGCTGTCCAGCGGGAGGTTGCTGCGCCGCCGCCTTCGGCACGCGCCGCAAAGCTCCCTGTGCCCTCTCCGCTGCTCGCCCGCCGCCTGCCCACCGCTCACCCTCCACCCCCGGCACCCGCTGTCCTCCCCCCCTCAGTTCACCGGCAAGCACACCTTCTTCGGCAAGACGGCGACCATGCTCCAGCAGGCCGATGGCATGGGCCACCTCCAGAAGATTCTGATGCAGATCACTCTGGCCCTGGTCGTGCTGTCCCTCATCCTGTGCTTCACGGCGCTCGGCTACCTCATCGGCCACGGCAAGGAGGGCGTCAAGGAGGCGCTGTCCTTCACCGTTGTGCTTCTCGTCGCGTCGATCCCCATTGCCATCGAGATCGTGTGCACGACCACGCTCGCGCTGGGGTCGCGCCAGCTGTCACAGGAGGGCGCCATTGTGACGCGCCTGGCGTCGATTGAGGAGATGGCGGGCATGAACATGCTCTGCTCCGACAAGACCGGCACCCTGACCCTGAACAAGATGGTGATCCAGGAGGACTGCCCCATCTACACGCCCGGTGCGCGGCACCTCCCCGCAGCCTCCCCTCCCCGCGCGCTTGGCCCTGGGCACCGGCGGCCGAGCTGACTGGCGCGCGTGTGGCACGCCGCGTGCCCCCTGAACCCACACGCCGCGTACCCCAACACAAAACACACACACATGCGCACACCTTTTGAGTGTCAACACACACACACACACACACACACATGCACATGCACATGCACGAACACACACCCCTCCCACACACCACTCAAACCATCCCAACAGGCGAGACCCAGGAGACCGTCCTCAAGGCCGCCGCCCTCGCCGCCAAGTGGAAGGAGCCGCCGCGCGACGCCCTCGACACCCTCGTCCTCACCTCTGCCAAGCTCGACGACCTGGACGTATACGAGCAGGTCGACTTCCTGCCCTTCGACCCCACCATCAAGCGCACTGAGGGCACCCTGCGCGGCCCCGACGGCAAGGTGTTCAAGACCACCAAGGGCGCGCCCCACATCATCCTCAAGCTCGTGGAGGTGGGCGCCTGGGGGGTGGCCCTGGGG